AAAAAAATAAATAAAATAAGGAAAATGCTATCATAATATAAGAAAATCAAGTGTGTGTTTCCATGTGCTTATATACAAGAAAATCAAATGTGAGTGGATGTGTGCTGCGTATATGCAAAAACATCTTCTGTGACCCAAGGAAAAGAAGCTCTACGTCAAACGCTCAGGTGCTAACCCACGGAGGCTGGGAAGAGACCTTTGCTCATGTCCAGGGTGGAGGACACCGATGACGCTGTGTCTCTGCCGTACCTGACACCAACACATGGTGCGGGCTGGTCACTAACACTGCCGACGGCTTCTCGGTCTCAGCTGGCAACACAGACAGGTGCAGACGGAGAGATCGAGGTAACAGAGTGGTGACCGATAAACAGACGAGGGGGAAGGTGGGGAACGTGCAGCATGGGCTCCAGGCATCCAAGGGCAAAGCGAAGCAACTGTCTCCCCTGCTCTACTCAAAGAGGCTCAGAGTCCACAAGTCCAGCACGCTCACTCAGTGACCGCCACAACATACGCAAGTGTGAGACAAGCACTTAAAAGAGAGGTGGAAATAAAACTGTGGGTCCCCATCAAAAAGCATGCAGACACTGTCCCCTGTTGGAGTACCGTCACTGCTGTGCGTGTGGTGCCTGGTCGATCACTGGGCCAGGCCTACCTGATGCACGTAAGCAAGGCGCTCTGTGGACAGAAAGACCTGTGACATCTGCTCTGCCACTAACCAGCTGAGTAACCAAACTCCTCCGCACCCTGATTCTCTCATCTGTCAGATGGGAGGATGGACACGCATCCCTGAGGGTGTTACGAGGATTAAACAAAATGGTGCGCGTGGAGACGGAGCACAGCAACGAGCACTCGGCAAGGCTCCACGAATGCTCGTGGCTTCTAGTTCGTGACAGGGAATGTGTGTCAGCCGACTTGAGTCGTCGGGCCCCGGGGCACCGTGAGTGCCCAACAGGTTAGCTTAAGAAACACAACAAGAGAGGTGCCTTCCTGAACGTCTGGGGAGAGGCAGGAGCAAGTCTTGTGGGGGACAGGGTACAGACTGAGCAAGGTGGGCAGGGCTGGCCTGGACAGGGGGCCAGGTGATCCCCAGAGGCCATGCTGCTGGGCAGAAGCCAGGGCTACCCCAGGAGAAACCACAGGCCCTACCCACCTGAGCAGGGGGCTCACCGTGGAGAGGAGGTAGGAGCAGGCTCCACTCCCTGGGGAAGGAGATAACTGGGCCCAGCCAGTTATCAGGGACTCTGAACAGCCACTGAGGTGGGTGCAAGAAGAAGAATGAGCTGAAGATATGGAACAGACTCAGGAACATGGTATTTATAATACATAAATATAAATAAACAAATATATAATACACATATCTGTTCACATTCACATCAAAGACAACTTTCCTCATTCCACAATAGTGGAACGACTTTTCAAATGTCTGTCCTCCGGCTTCCCAGCCCCCGATCCCAGGGCAGGAATGGTATGTTCTGTTTGCTGTTCTTTTCCTTCTGCCTTCCAGACTGCCCAGCACAAGTAGCTATTTGACTGATGTTTGTCCTGTCAGTGAGCCAACTGTCTGCACATCTCCCGATGCACTGTATCTCTCAGGGATTAACACAGTCCATCCCAGATGTCACCTGGCCTTCTTCATGTCACTTCTCCCTGGCTGGGACTGGCAACTCGCAGTGAATAAGAGCCCCTGCTGGGCCATCCATGCTGGGCCATTTCACCCATGTGATACCACCTGATTTTCACCAGGTTGTTCTACCATCATCATACAGATGAGGAGAACGAGGCTGCCCAAAGCCATCCGGCCACAGTGAAATAAAGTCATTCATTCAACAAACATGTCCCGAACAAGTTACAGCCGTGGCACCTGACCCCGAAGCGCTTATATTTTTCAAACGACCAACATAACAACACGGGAAAATGACAGGGGCTTATCTGTTCATCAAGTGCATCTCCAGCAACATCACAAAACGGGCCCTACTGCAGAGTCAGAGAGAAGAAAGAACCACGGCCACCCAAGAGCTGCTCAGCCTCTCCAAGCCTTGGCTTCCTCCTACGTCCCCTGAATGTCCTCTGAAGGCTGCTGTGGGATACTGCACCAGAGCCCATAGTGGGGCAAGCAGTGGGGATGTCCACATTCTAATCCCTGGAGCCTGCAAATGTTATTTATACGGCACAGACTTTGCAGATGTGATTAACTGAACATCCTGAGGAAGGGAGATTATCCTGGATTACATGGGTGGGCCCTAATTCAATCCTAAATGCCCTTACAAGAAGGAGGCTAAGGGAGATTTCAGACAGAAGGCCATGTGACAGAAGCAGAAAGAAGAAGTCACAGAGAAGATACTACCTAGCTGGCACTGAAGATGGGGGGTAGGGGGACACGAGCCAAGGAATGCCAGCGGCCACCAGAAGCTGGACAAGGCAAGGACTGGACTCTCCCCTAACACTACGGGGGGAGCACAGCACTGCTGCACCCTGGATTTGTGCCCCGGGACACTGATTTTAGACTGCTAGCCTCCAGAGCTCCAGAACTGTGAGAGCATACATTTCTGTTGGTTTAGCCACCGAGTCTGTAAGAATTTGCTAGAGCAGCCCTAGGAAACTAATACAGGGGATTAAATGAGAAGCATCAGCCAGGTGCCCGGCACAGTGGGAACTGAAGCAATCTCAAACAGCGAAGGACAGTCCCCGCCACCCTTCCTGGACCACCAGCCGGTCTTCACAAGTGGTGGGAAGAGCTACAGCCTTACGCTGTAATGATCCTGCTTACATTTTAAAGAATTCCTTCATATCTATTGCTTCTCTGGATAGCATCCCCAAAGGGAGTTTCCCAGGCTATGCAAGGACTCTTAGCTCCTCCCATATAAATACAGTATTGCCACAAGCATTTGTCTTAAACACCCAGTACAATTAACTCAGATGTTCAAGGGCAAGCTTTGCTGATGTCGCACGGACTAGACCCTCCTGGCTTTTGGTGTCAGGAGTTGCCATCAGGGCCCCCTTACCTTGAATAAACACAGCAAGAGAACCTGTCCCGGCCACAGGCCCTGAAGTTGGTAGGGGGCCGGCCCAGGAGAAGGGCCAGCCGGGCAAGCAAAAGACAGGGTGGCTGCCGTTTGGCCCTCCGATCCCCTCTTTTCACCTCTTCAGTCCTGGTACCATGCACACCCACACTTGGTTTTCCTTCTTGAGGGTTGAGTCCCAATGTCGAAACGCACAGTGTGCAATAAGCCCACTTCCTCCGCTCTCAGCGGCCTCCTCCTGGGCTCTGTGTGGAGGTGGACCCACGACCCTGACAGCTCTTCTGCCTCCCTTCGGCCCCCCTTCAGTTTTGGAGTCAGGACCAGGCGGCCCCAGGACCCTGCCACCCTGGCCAGGGCCTGCAGGAGATTTGAAGACCATCCCTTCCACCAGGCTAAGCAGCCCTCAGCCACAGAGGGCTCAGGGCGGAGCTTCGAAACCTCAAGAGTATTTTAGAGAAAATATGAACAAAAAGAAGAAGCCTGTCCACTTCCTGAAAGTCATCTGCTGGTCCCGGAGCTGCCTTCGTAGCTCCCAGTCTCTGACCTTCTGCAGTAGCTGGGTTTACCCAGCAGACGCTGGTGCCCTGAGCAAGCTGACAGCCACGAACGGGGCAGAAGGAAGGCAGAGCTGTGTACAGATTGAGCCACAGCCAGAAGGAAGAGCCGCCTCAGCGCTCCTCGGCCACGGGCACTGCACACAGCAGACCCCGGCGGCGAAGGTCTAACGTCTGCCAGGCCTTGGGTGTGTCCTGCTGAATCCCGCACAGGGGCTGGCAAGCAGCCTCACAGACACATATCTCTGAACCCTCTGGGGTGGGCTACCATCAAGTCCTGCTCTCCAGAGCATCCCCAGGGCCAGTGTGGCAACAGTCACTCGGTTTGTGCCTGAAACCTCCTACAGAAGCGAACGCTAATAGGCAGGCTTGCTGGAGGAGCCCCCACTCCCCCTCCCAGGCCCGAAGACAGGCCTCCTCCGCCTGTACAATGTGTCCATGTGTCGTAACTGCATGCCTGCTCCACCGTGGTAAACTACCGGCCGCCTCCAGACTTAGAAGCTGACAAGGCCCATCCAACCTGACTCCGAGACGCACTTACAAGGCCCACGTCCAGGCTGTTCCCTTCCCTCTCACGCGCACTGCAGCCTATATACTGGGTGGGAGCGGCCGGAACCAGCCTCAGCCAGACCTCGTCACACCTACAAGTCGGCTCTGCTCCATCAGCACTGTGCACCCCTGGTCCTGCTGTCGGAGACGTCCCTCCAGAACCATCTGCAGCACCTGCAGTAGCTTGGACCTGCGGTGGGCCCTGCAAAGTCCCTCGGAGCCACTGTTCTTAAAGCTGGTGTCAAAGGTGGCCCTGACAAACCTCATTCGGGGTGCTATGGGTTGGTTTAAAAGGTCTGTGTGTAACTGAAGGTAATATTTTAAAGAAGCGTATCTTACAAATAACAACAGCTAACCATTAGCTGCCGTCCACTCCCCAAAGAAAAAGTTACAGTCCAGATGAGAATTGCAGTCAATGGGGAGGAATTTCTAAACGTCACCTAACCCCACACTCTCCTTCCAGCCAGGACAATACTCAATCCATACCTTAGAGCAAGGGCCGGGCGGGGCGGGGGGGGGGGGCGGCCTTCTTTCAAAGAACTAACATGTTAGTGCCCAGCACAGACTGGGAAGAGACTACCATGTTCAAGAGAGCGCTACTGCACAGCCCGGCAGGGGGACGCTGTAAAGCCGGGCAAAGCAAAGAGAAACTCTTTGCAACGAGTACCAAGATATAGTAAGGGGAGAGGGCGAGGGGAACAGCGGACGGGGAATGTATACTGTGGGCATGAAAAAAATTTTTAATGTGTACATACATAATATCTGCTGGCATACACACAATATCTTGGGAAGAACACACCAAAAGCACATGGCATTGGTGTCTCTAGGGAGGGAATCTGGGTGGCTGGGGTAGGAGGCAGCCTTTACCATATACCCTGCTACAGCTTATAATTTTTGAACCATGAACAGGTATGCCTATTGAAAAACATAAAATGTTATCAAATATGTCTAATCAAGCTAAGTACAAGCAGGTTTTGAGGACTCCCACCAAGTAACATTAGTGTTTAGCCACTAATAGGAAGGTAGAGGATTCAAAGGGGTGCTTCTGTGGGTCAGTGTCACCCCGGCAGGTGAGAAATCGATGAGGCTGCACCTGCTGCTTGCAACAGTATCCATCCCCTCACCCCTGCCAGCATCCCTTGCACTCTGCCCGCCATTTCCCTCTTCTCCAGCCTTGCTCTTCCGCCATGTTTTTCTCCCTGGCTACATCACCACATCACCTGGCGTAGTGACGTTTATACTCACAGTCCCCGAGTCACAAACTCTTAAAGGAGGAGCATGTTTTAGCACAATCACAAGCCAAGCCCTGTCCCCATCATCTCTCACTACCAACCGCCCTCCCCCAGCCACTGGCCAACAGGCTTGACTATGTTTTCTGTCTACACTGAACCCCATGTGTGGAGACCCCACAAGGTCATAGGAAGAGCATGTGTCTGTGGAGGAGGCAGGGCCAACCGAAGCGGTTTCATTGCAGGGAGAGGACCCTGAGACAATTCATATCTGTTTCCAGAAGCCCGTATTTCTGGGGTTCTTCACACTCCAACACTTTCTTTTCCTCACAGCCAGCCCAGTTTTCACAGGTAGTCTAGAATATCCTTCCCTGGTCCTCTTTCATTTCCATCATTTCAGAGACATGCCTTCCCAACCAGCACGGTGGGCTCTGGGGGCCTTGCCTCTGGGTTCAGTGAGCTGCAATGCCCAAGCCACTGAACGGGAATGAGGGAGCCCACCTTGGCCCACAAACCTGGTTAGAGCACAGGTATGGTCATAAAAATGATTACCATTTAAGAAAGGGTCTCCTCGAACCCCTAAAGAGACTCTGGAATCGCTTTTGTCACTTAAAATAATGATATAAGCAAAACAGACTAAAAAGCTTTTAAAAAGTCTGAAAAGGCTCCTGTGTGGGATGAAGTCCCAAACTTGAAAAGGGCCCCTCAGTGAGCTGCCCCTGCCTCTCCTGAGCCTCCTTCCTGATGCGTTACCCCCAGTGGTCCCCACACTTTTCTTTTGAAACCCTCAGCTCAAGCTATCACCCCCACCCTTGACACATAACTCCCCATGAAGTCCTGTGATGTCCCCAAAACCCATGAGAGGAGGAAGCCACCCTTCCTGTGTACCCCATCCTACTGGGCTTCTCTTTTTGCTCCTATGATACCTCACTTACAACCCCGGGCATATGGGAAAAGGTTGATGACATTGAGAGAGAAAAAAATCCAAGATGACCAAGCCTGAAGGCGGCGTGGCACGTTCCTCCCAGAGCAGCAGGAATGGTGGCTAGGTTCCAGCCAGCTGGCTGACAGGGCCTGGGTGCCGAGGACACGAATGCCAGGGCACAGGGAGGACGTATCAGGGGCACGAGATGTCAGGTTGGCTTTCACCCTGAGAACCGACTGGAGCTGGAGCTGTACCATGAGCTCCGGTCTCACTTCCCTCTCTAAGTGAGACTGAACCCCAACTTGACCTCTGGGAAATGGGCTGTCCTCCTAGGACAGGCTGAGGCTTTTCCTGCACTTTCAACAATGAAATGGTAGCTTTGTCCATTCATTCACTCGAAAAACATTGACTATACACCTATTTTGTACCAGGCACTGTGGGATACTCTGGAGATACGAAGAAAACTGAGCTACTTTTCCTGCCCTGAAGGACATTTATGTCCTATGACACCCCAGATCTGTTATGTTCACTGGGCATGTCCCCAGAGAACAATCTTCACAAACGCGAATGCCAGTGAGGGACACAATGCCCCCCCCCGCAATAAAACACAGTAAAGCAGAATTTAACATTTTAAATGATTCCTCTGGATCCCTGAGGATTTACCGTCAAGGAGCTACACACCATGAAGGAGCGGGTAAGGGGGCTCCCAAACAGGGGGGTGCAGGTGAGCCAGGCACTCAGCCCTGCACATGCCAGCCCTTCGCGGTGCCCAGACTAGATTAGTTTACTTTGGTGCCGTTTTCCTTTTGGCGACCTGGCACTCACCCCCTAACTACACTCCATTAGTGGAACTGTGCACTCACTCTCTCTCAGACCACTCAACTTGGGGGCGCATGTGGTCAAAAGATCCAGGCCAGGCAACTGGAGTACTGAGTTCCCCAGCTTTAGGGGCGATCACCTGACCCAGGTCCACTCAGCATCACTCCTTCCCCTGGGACAGTCCAGACCTGCACCATCCATCTTGTCTCACAGTGAACGTCACTCCCACTGGACAAAGCACTGCTTGAGCGCTACACACTCCTAACCTAGGGCTTTATTCTGTGCTCCACGGTTGCTCCACTTCGGGTGTCTCCAGGCCTGTGGTGGTCGCCATCTTGAACTCAGATGCTGCCCGAATGCCCCTATGTCCCTGGCAAGGGTTCCTGGGCCAGTGGCCACGTGAAGTGTGCTGACAGCCACCTTCTACAGTCCGCAATGCTTTTGAGAACTTCTGCCTTGTCTGTACTTTTCTCCCCCACCATACTCCCTTGAAGGTGCTTTCCCCTTTAAGAGTGGGAGATGAAACATGGAAATCAGAACCACTTCCTCCTGGCCCGGGGCCTCACTTTCTGCATTTATACTGCAGACTGAGGGTGTCCCAACAGTCTTTGTTTCCCCTGAAAAAGCACAGCATCTAATTCATTAGGGCCAGACACCCACTGTCGGCACCTGCGGAATAGGAAGACAAATTCCACATAACACAAAGACCAGCACACCCAGGGAGGGGGAAGAAGAATTCTATGAAGTTTGATGGACACCTCCCTGAAGTAAAATATTTCACTCTCAAAGATAAAACAACAACAACAACAAAACCTATGTTCATACTGAGAAAGAACTGGATAGCAAAACAATCAACAATCTGGAAGAGAGGCACCAGCTCAGGCAGTCATGATTCCTGGTGGGATCTGAGGTGAGATGCTATGCTCAAGCCTTGACTACAGGAGCCACTCCTGGGGTAGAGAAGATGAGAAAGGGCCATCTGATAATCCTTGCCTTTTTAGAATGTGAAGTTAAATTTTTTTAAAGGCTTAGAAAAATTACTACAGATTAGCAAATTTTCATCAGTAGTTTTGTTAACACACAAAAAAATTTCCTTATTTCAGAGGCATGAATTCAAAGAGTGTTTCAAGAGGGTAAAGATTCTTGAATACATGCTCGTCTACACCCCTAAGTCCCAGGGATTTTAGTCAGAAAGCAAAGCATGGCTCCTCAGGGGAGCTCAACTTCCTGTAGCTACTGCCTTGCTAGGTGCGCGCGCGCGCGCGTG